TGCATGAGCAAAGATATTGTTGTGCACATCTGGATGATTTTGAGTTTTGTTTTTTGACACACATTTAATGACATTTTTTAGTATTGAGGCGTGCTCTTTCCAATGCTAGAGGACCAAAAACGGGATGTACAGTTTTGTCTAAGTTTTGTGACACTGTTGAGCGAGAGTGGAGCCGATACGAGGAAATCTATGAGGCCACTGAACGCATCGCAGGCGCTCCGAGCGCACGAAGAGCTCCAACGCAAGATTCATTGCATTCATTGCACTACCACGAACTCTACGGCAGGATTCTTTACAATATTATTTGACAGTCACAGATCAGATTTCAGGACCACGAAAAACTGATGTTTGTCACGCATACTAGAGAAATTTCCAGCTTAACACAAAGCCACGGGACACTTTACGATCTGTCTCGGCTAACAACAGCCCTAAAGCGTTTTATAACTTATACCACAAATACGACAGGGCAGGCTCAACTTTCATTATTAGCTTCGATGGCGATAGAAAAGGACTTCTTGATGGAACTGAAACGCACGGATAATCTGTTCGACAGAGTAATTGAACTGTTCTGGAGGAAAGAAAAGGGGATGGATTTAATGTACAAATAATCAGGAGCTTTGGTGAGTAAAAAGTTTCTATATTCCTAAATAATATTTCAATGTTATGAGGATATTATTGATGCTTTTTTATGTGTGTCGCAGCTGTAGCTGCATTATAAGTTTTATATCCATGAATTAATTATTGAGGGGTGTATTGATTCAGACAGAGCACTACTGTAGGCCTAGGTGTGAAATGCACGGTCCGCCACTGCTATGTATTTATATTTACTTTGGCCGAGGTCCCGTGGTAGTTCCGCAAGCCGTCATCAACGACGAAACGCTGGTCATTATTTCTGTTCTCGGAATAATCCCACACGGCTGATTTAATGCACTTGTACGGGTGGAATAACCCTCCTTCTACATTTTTACACACTTGTGCGCGCTTCCTTTGCAACTTGCTGGGACCAAAAACAAAGCAACACACGGCGGTGCTGTCTAACTTGGATTTTAGTTCCGTTTCCGAGTTGCGCTTAATTACAGTTCCGGTATATTATTTACTTATTACGAAATTACACTATTTAATTATTGTTACACAAGTAACATTAATGATGGTGAAATTAATGTTGAAATAAGTGCAAGCAAGACAGCAGTTTTGTCTATCTTTATTGATTGAAATATAGACATAATTCTGTATCCTTACTATTAACAGCTTGGAAAATATAAAAGACAATTAGGCCATGCTATGAGACTATTGTGTTAAATGTCTGCAGATTATTAGTTAATATTACAACAATATGATTTAAGTACATACAGTATACAATCTGTACAAATGTTAACAGATTCACAGTTAAGTGTTTAAAAAAAGCAGGAAGTGAAGGATGTGAGTTCCCTAATAAATGCTTAACCCAAATAAAGCAGTTATAAGTCTGTGGTTCACTCTCACGCTTTATTCTATTGCATTTTTTTTTTACATTTAGCATAAGTCATGGTTGTGACCCGGTGGAGTTACAGGGTAGTAGTGACCTAAATGAATTGCCTAAATTGTGTCACAAAGACGGGTGAAAATGAGGTGTTTGCTAAGCTGCGTTTGTGTTTTAGGTCTTGAACTGCTTGCAAACTTCACAGCACAATGACAAAGTAAAACACTGTGACTCCCTGATTGATCCTAATTTGATCACCAAAATTAGCTTTTGCTGTTATTTGTGGTACCATGCAATTGATCCATCTGCTGCCAAGTCCTCCTTCACTTTTTTTAGCTAATTAGAGGAGTTGACTTGTCATGCCAAAATATTTATAGTTTATATATTTAACAGTCCGAGTGACACAAAAGGAGTAACCACTTTTTAGCTGAAATAGATCTAACCAACATTTGAATTTTATACTCAAATAGGTACTGTAAAAACAAAATTATACAAGCTACAGAGAAACAAATTAACACAGTTGTTTAATCTCTTAATTGCGTGTGTATTCTTAGTTTGACTTGTCCAGTGTTAAACATTTTTCCTGTACACAAGTACTCTGCCACAGGACCACGTGAGTGTGTTATGGAATTATTTTATTATACGATAACATGAAATTAAACATAACTGAAGTTATTTCACAGTAAAGTAAGCAGTGGTTGCTTCTTATCTACAAGAAGCTAATTTAGCTTGTTGTTAGATGAGTGTAGACAGTCTTCTTGGGACAAAAAGACTTCTTAAAGTCAATCATGAGGGGCATTGCTGGCAGTTGGTCATTATTATTCTCTGACTTCCTGTTTCTCCACTGCACAGAATCACACTTGTACCATGGTTAAGTCATATTTGCTACTGATGCTTAAAAAAATCCCTGTAACATGACAGAAAACGCTGTGATGCACAAGACACTTCAATGCAACAGGTTCAACATTTTGTTGTTACGTTTGACGAAACAAAATAATTTCTGCCTTTCTGCCTGTGTGTTGACCCTACCTTCAGCTACCCTGTTGCTAAAAATAATCTAATGTCTCGCAGCTTCTATGGAAATGATTAAAACATGAAAAAAATCTGTCAAAACAGTAACAACATGAGGAAAAAAAATACAATTTTGAAAATATACTCAAGATATAAATACAATAAACAAGGTAATAATCCTCCATCTTGTCGCTGTCTAACACAATATCCCTCTCTCACTCTGATACACTACAGACACGCACACACATACACACATACGACCAGGTTGCAGCCTCTAATCTCACGCAGCTAGAGCGATGGGAAAGTCACTGAGATGTGGAACAAACACCAACATTTATTACAAGCCAGATGGGACAATTCTTCAGTTGAAGGACATGCGTTACTGTGTGTGTGTGTTTGACTGAGGGGGTGAGGATTTGTCAGTGGGGCGTCACATTGTTGTGACAGGGCTGCAGGATAGGGCTGGAAGGTACAGGTGAAGGGCCAATGGCACACAGTCTTTTTCTGGGCAGGATGAACAAGGCCCTGTCTCGTGTCACCACAGAGCAGCCTCTCTCTTCTCCATTATCACTCACTTCCTGATCCAGACAGTGTGTGTGTCTCCCAGGCACACATCTTGTATTTTTAGCTGTTACAAAGAGAGAAAAACAAACAATCAACCTTGAGATGAAGAAGTAGCGACGGGACAATTATCTTGTGAAAACATTTGTTTTCTAAATAATTACAGAGAATTACAAATTAAGTTATAAATTTGAAAACATTTGTTTTCTAAATAATTACTTAAGTTTTAAATTAAGTTATAAATGTATACCATCTAGTCATTCAAGTAATACCATTTTAATAGAATACAGGAAGTTTGAAGAGGTGCGGTGTTTAAAAATATATCCAATAGGTGGCAGTAATGCTACACAAAAATCCACAACTGCTCTGGCTGGGGCTGACTACAAAACTATTAAGACCAAAATGGATTAAACTTTTACTTTTACCCCACAAGTATGCCCTGTTGCAGTTGGCCACTCATTCAGACCTTTGTGTCACCATTCTTGTAATCAGTGGGAAATCATGTAAATCAAGTAAATATACAGCAAGTGAAAAATGATTAATTAAATCTTACAGCCGAAAGGGAGTGATTAGGAGCTGAATGCTTGTTGTTTCGAACCACAGAGCAAATGGAGAAATAATTACTTATTATACTGTATTAGTGATGTTTTTTGGTAATTCACCCTGTTTTGATTAAAAACATAATTAAATCATTGCAACACAGACCTTTGTACAACCCTTTGAAGTTCTGTAATTGAATCTATAAAATACCCCAACATGGTTTCTTGACTCCACACTGAGTCTTTTATAGAAGAAAAACAGTCGGAGGGAGCGGAGGAATCATAATCAGTCTTTCAGCACAAGTTCATCTGTCCCTCACACACACCGTTTCCCTTTCCTAGACCAGGCCTACAAAGACAGGGTCAATGGCGGCTTTCCTTCGCTTTGATATCAAAGGTTCCCTGGTTACTCATAGCCCGGACAAAAGCTTTTTCATCTGGTTAGTGGACAAACCCCTCCTCTTTTCACTAATAAAAGCAGGGTCCATTGATGTTTAAAAAAAAGCCACTGTGCGATATGTGGTTAAGGGAATTTTTAAAATAATTTCCTCTTCCTCTCATGTGTTCCTATGGCTTACTGAATAAAGAGATAACTTTAAATGGTAAATTGATCTTTTACATATGGGTGTTCTTCAGATTTATTCATACACCAGTCTCACCTGCTCACGATGTTGCCGTGATCTCTGTGGACACGGGCTCAATCTCCTTCACTGCCTCCTCGATCACGTCGATCACCTGTGCCATCACCTCTGCACACTTTGATGTTGTCTCTGGCTGGCTTTCTTCTGTGGTCACTGTGACTTGGCTTGCGGAAGAGACCTCTGTTGGTTCTTCTGTCAGTGTTGAGAGGTTGTTTTCACTTTCAGGTCTCTCCTCCTTCTGGCTGGTCTTGTCATCTACGGGACCATTGGTGTCAAACTCTACAACAGCTTCTTCTTCCACTGATGCTTCCTCAACCACCTGTGCTATCTGCAGCACCACTGGGGTTGGCTTTTTGGTCTCACTTTCATCCTCATCTTTTTCTTTCACTTCCTCAGCTAGCAGTTTTTCCTCTTCTTCACACTCTTCCTTTTTAACCTGACTACTCTCTTCGCCAGTCTGACTTTCCACAACCTTTTCCTCTTCCTCTTTAGGGGCCTCAAGACTCTCTGTAACCTCTATTGCAACGGTGTCAACGACCTGCATGGCAACGTGAAGTGACTGCAACTGTGGTCCTTCACATACAGCAGTACTGGGGGTGTCAGTAATAACAGGGATCTCAGCGGATATTTCAATCTCTTTCTCTATTTTTGCATCTGCCTGGACTGGTGTTGGTATGTCAGCTGATGTGGTGGAAGGTTTCTTTGGTTCAGGCATATCTTTTGAGAACTTCTCCACAGCATCCTGGATAACAGCCTGGGCAATGGCCATGCCCTGAACCTCACTCTCACAAGCCTGCTGCATTTCCTCCTTAATCATCTGGCTGACCTCCAGTGTTTGAACTGCTGGGATCTCCACAGACATGTCTTCTCCTTTATCCATCTCAGTTATCTCATCAACAACTGTCTGTAGCAAAGATGCATTCTCAACTGCAAGCTCCACTTGATCGGACCCTACACTGAGCGAGGACAGAACAACGGTTTCTGTAATAACAGGAACCTCTTCACTTGGCAGGACAAGACAGATGTTTGGCTCAGTCTCCTTAGTCATGGTGGTCAAAGCAGTTTCACATGTAGTTGAAGAGGTCTCCCTAGTCACAACCTGAGCTAGCTCTGTAACAGGTGTATTTTCTTCAAGGGCAGCGCCAACATTTTCTTCTTCCATTGCCAGCTCTTTGGTCTCTATATTTGGCTCAGTGACTTGAACACTCTGGGTGCAGACAGCTGTCTCTGATGTTGGTGTAATGGGATTGACCACCTCAACTTTAGGAGAGTTCACTGCTACAGTGGCAGACTGAAGAACAACAGAATCATCCAGAGCAGTAGTGATGAGTCCAGTTTTCTCCATCTCAGGTTCATGACCCTCTGTGGCAGCTTGAACGTCAAGCACTCCTTCTGGAGAACTGTCAACAGCACCCTCAAGGTCAGTGGTATCTACTTGAAGAACTTGAGCTTTGAACACAGAGTCTTCTGCAATGACAGCCTGTTCTTCACTTGCTGGTTTATCTTCTACAGCAACATTTATGCTCACTGGGTCACGGACCACAGCCATAACTTCCACCACGGGAGATGCTGGCTTTTCCAGAGACATTTTAGCAATTTCCTTGGTTCCAAGGCCTGTGCAGATGGCCACTGCCTCCTCACGAGCATGAACTTGCAGGATAGTATTTGTCTTTGACTCTGCAGTTTCAGTAGGAGGTTCAAACTCAATATCTGCAGAAGCTGCCTGTACTGGTACATTTTCAACAGTAACAGATGTCTGAGGTGAAATTTCACTCACATGGATCTCCAAATTTTGAACAACTTCAGTGGCACAGTGAGATGTGGGTTCTTCAGGAACAAGTGTAGCTTGTGCATCCTGAGCTGGAGCAACAGATGCTACTTCGGCTGTGGACAGCCTACGGCCCATGCCACCAAGATGTTTAGGGGAGGTTGTAGCATCATCTAGAATTTCATCTTCAACAATATCAGTGTCAATAGACTTTGGTGTGGCAGTGTTCTCTGCCTCTTCTGGAATGTCACTTAGTTGATCGTGCTGGTTTCCAGCGTCTTGGATTGTCGTTGCAATCCATGAAGGAGATCTGTCCTCAGCAGCTTTAACCTGACCTACAGCTGGTTCTGCTGGAGCTTCTTGTTGAGCCACAACTTGGTCATCATATTCTGAGAGTGGAACCACAGCAGGGGTGTCAGAGTCCTCCTCAGCTGTTTCAACAGAGGTCTGCTTTTCAACCTTCTTCTTCCTGCGTCCAGGGAGGAACTTTCTCAGAGAGAAAGATGACTCTTCCTTTGGTGCCTCACTCTCTGACTGAGATTGAGTTGCATTCTCCTCAGGTTTTTCCTCCACCTTAGGTTTATTCTTAGACAAGACAAACCGTTTCAATGTATCCCAGGCTGATTCTCTCTCAGGGGGACTTGTTACAGGTTCAGGAGCAGACACAACTTCATTGTTCACTTCTTCATTCTCTGTGTTTTCCGGAGGTACAGCAGCCTCAGTTTTTGTCTCCTCTAGCTCTTCCACTGCTGTTTCTGTACCAGCTGCTGGGGCAGCGGCTTCCTCTTCAACCTTGGTGTCTTCATCATCAGAATCAGAGGTCTTCCTTGCTCGCTTTTTGGTCCCACCCATACACATAAGGGCCTCCCATGAGACAGAGGTGTCTATTTTCTTTTTGGGTTCCTCAGTGCTGCTGACCAGTTTCTCTGTGTTTTCATTCTTCAGTTCCTCCTCAGGTAACCTCCCCTCCTTTGAATCCTCCTCCTTTGCCTCCTCAAGCGTTGTATCTGTTAGGGCAGCACTTTCTGAAGAGGATAGTGTGGCTGACTTTGCTGGTTTTTCACCTGTTGTCTCATCTTCACTGTCAGAAGATCTTTTCACAAGCTTTTTGGGTGTTACCAGTCTCTTGAAGGAGGACCAGGCAATGATGCCGTCCTTTTTCTTCTCTCCATCACTGGTTACCTCTGCATCTGCCTCTTGACTTGACCCATTCTGCGTAACCTCCACATCGATAGCATGCTCTCCTGAGTCCTCTGGAGATGAGGGTCCACTCTCAGTTTTAGGTGCTTCAGTTGACTCAGAGGAGGATTGAAGTTGTTCGGCCGTTTGTTCTCCAGACTCGGTCAATTTGCTCTCAGTGTCTTTCTTGGCCTTTTGTTTTTTTGTTGACAATTTCCTCAGGCCAGCACCAGTAAAGAGCTTCTTCAGGGGGCTGCCTTGTGGCTTTGCTTTCTCTTGTGATGAAATAATCTCAGGCTCAGGTGTCACCTCTGTTGTAGTCTTCTCCTCTGCATGGCTACCTTCTGCCTTTTCCTCCTCTTGTTTGGGGTCATCACTAGTAGTTTCTGCTGGTGCTTCAGTTTCAGGGGTGGGCTCGGGCACTGCAGTGACATTTGGTTCTGGTTCTGTTGGACTAGCTGGTGCTTCCTCCTTTGACTCACATTTTTCTACCTCTGGAGTTGTTACTGCCTCCTCCTTGGTTTTTTCTCCTGTCACATTTTCTTTTTCCTCAACTGTCACATCCTGTTCATCCTGCACTTCGGCTGGGGTTTCTTCTGCTGCCGCTGTGGTCTCTTCTGCTGCTGCTTCCTTTCCTTCCTCATCTTTCGTCTTTTTGACGCTGGACTTCTTTCTTAGGTTGGAGAAGAGACCTGTACTAAATAGTTTCTTTAAGGGGGAGAGAGTCATTGTTACATCCTGATTTGCCTCTCCTTCCTTGGTCACATCATCTTCTTTGACTTCTTCATCAGTTTTTTCAGCAGCAGCAGCTTCAGGTGGGGCATCAGTGGTTTCAACATTCTCGGGTTTATCTTCAGGGACTGCTTCAACAGTGGAGGCCTCTGTGTCAGCCATCTTTTCTTCCTCTGTGCTCTTGTCCTCAGCAGAAACAGTGTCCTCCTCCTTTTTGGGTTCATCAGTCCCATTTTCCTCCACCCCGTCTTTATCTTTGATGGTCAGTAGCTTCACTGGCTCTTTCTCCTCACCTTTGTCCTTTTTCAAAGTGAACTTGAAGCCAACAAAGCGAAAGATTTTCTTAAAGCCCACTTCAGTGGCATTATCAGGTTTCTCCTCTCCTGCTGTCTCCTCCACAGCCGAAATGTCGTTGGCATCGGGAGACTCCTTCTCCACTTTCTCTCCATTTACTTGAGGTGCCACTTCCTCCTGCGTTGTGACTGTCATCTCAGGAGCTTCTTCTTTCTGAGCTACAGTCACAGAGTCAGGCTGCCCAACTGTAACAACAGGATAATAATGGAGTTAGTTTAAATAGCCATGCTCTTTTTTTTTTTTTTTTTACTTTTAAAACCATTACTTACTACTACAAATCGAAGCATTAGATTGTATCTAAACCAAAATGCTTCTTTTAACAATAAATAAATGTGTTTTCTGTTTCCCATCTGACTATAATCAAGGACGTTATACTCCAAGTATTTGCTGAAATATCCAGCATATGACTACATAAATGCAGCCAGATTTGTGGCATTGAGATGAATCATACAAAAACACTTAAATCCATTGTTGAAACATGTGCTAAAAATCTACCACATCAATCTTGTAGAAGTGTAGAAAATAATCCTCTTTTTTCTTTTTACTTTACGTTAGATTCTCAGAAAGCAATTCTTATGAAAGACTATTCTCTCAGGACAAAGTACTTTGTAGTTATCAGATAACCTCACCTTACCTTAACATTTCTGACATTGCTTTCCAAAAATATTTAAGTGCTAGAATATGAATATTCTGTACTTATCTTTATTAGTGCATGGAAGGAAAGAAAAATGTTTCTCAATTACTGCAGTTTCTTAAACGTGCATTTGTCATTAAATGTTTGTTTTTATCTGCTGATGCAGTAAGCCGTGGCACGCCCAGACCGAGTATTTTTGCATACATTTGGTTTTTAAAAAATGTGAACTATGTTGCTTACTCCACGTGTGGGAAAAATATTTTGGGGTGCTCTAAAAATTAAATGTCAGAGGACCTAAGGAATGTTTATTTGTCTTTCACTTATGGTGTCCCGCCTTTGCCCTTATAGGATTTAAACCAAACAATACAGACCCCTCCTTCAAAAAATCCCAATCCCCTTGACCCAAATTCCACCACAGCAGGATGGATGTAGAAACACCCCCTTCCTAAGGCACACACTCATACAAACACAATAGACGCCTCACCCTCTCTGGCCTCCAAAAATAAAAGATGGGGAGGTGGGCGGCAGTAGTGGTCAGCTTTTACTATAATCAAGACACGCTGCAGTTTGGAGGTTGCTGAGGTTGCACACTGATGTCAACATGCATGAGGACAACACCTGGGTAGTTTACAGGTCACAGGAATGTCACATGGCAGTGGGGTCTGTCTCACATATGTGTTATTTACAAGAAACATGTCCAAACACATGGCAGGTTGGTAAACAAAGGCCTAAATACATCAAGAAAACATGAACCTTATATGAGGCCTCTGGGTGACTTGTGCCGTCTATCAAAA